GGGCAACGATAGGGGGGGGACTGGCATAGGGGGGGATGCATCGACCTGGAATCGGCGATACATCGCCGATGGCTCGGCGATAGGCTCCCGATCGCGAATCCGCACCTTCCTGGGCGGGGTGGGGCTATCGGGCCCCTATCGGCGATCAATGGGCGATTGGGGATCGATGCATCCCCCCCCCTGTGGATTATCGTTGCGCAGGAGGGAGGGAGGGAGGAGGGAGGAGGGAGGAGGGAGGAGAGGGAGGAGGAGGAGGAGGAGGAGGAGGAGGAGGAGGAGGAGGAGGAGGAGGAGGAGAAGGAGGAGGAGGAGGAGGAGCTATTGGGGATCGATGCATCCCCCCCTGTGCCTATCCCCCCCTTATCGTTGTCCCTGACCTCCCCTCCCGGCCCCGGCCTCGGCCGCCCCGGCCACCGACCCCCTGCCCTGCCAGCTCGCCTTCGGCTCCGCCCGGCTAGTCTCAGGTCGGGCGTGTCCCCCTACAGGGGGATTTTCGATGAAAAATTAAAAATATTCTAAAAATACTCCACCATTGGAAAAAGTACTAAAGTAATAGTCCCCATATTATCTTGTTGACAATTTTGAATTTTCCCCCTGTAGAGGGACAGGCCCGGCTTAAGGCTAGTGGTTGCGCGGCGGCCCGCGAAGGATGAGGAGGAGGAGGAGGAGGCCGACGGCGGCTTCGTCGCAGTCGTTTGGGCTGCCTGCGCGCCTCGTCGGGATCTCGTCCTCCACCTCCTCCCCCTCCTCGGCCTCCTCCTCCTCCTCCTCCTCCTCCTCCTCCTCCTCCTCCTCCCCCTCCCCTTTCTCGTCCTCCGCCTCCTCCTCATCCTCATCCTCCTCCTCGTGGTCGACCTCCTCCTCTCGCCTGCGAATCTCGTCCTGCAAGCCTGACACGTGGATAGATGGCCGAGCCTAACCAGCGGGGCCACCGCGATGGAACGAGTTCGGTGCCCAGCTCAAGAACCTGATCAACAACAGAACGTTACAGCCCAATGTTTCGAATACTGCGCTTTGGAAATGGGCCAATCTTCCGCTGCATCCTAAGCACATTCCATCACTGTAAATATCTACGTCGCGCTCACAGAAAGGTGTATAGAGAGCGAGCGGAGCGAGCGGGGATAACGAGACTGAGAGCGAGAGAAAGAGAAAGAGAGACAGAGAGATAGTGAAGCAAATGTGGAGAGTAAAGAGGACATGAGGAGATAGAAACTGGCAAGGAGATGGCATAGCGAACCCGACAATGTACTGGCAAAAACAAGCACCTCCCCTGGCGAGTCAGGAATCTCAGGGGGCCCGAGGCCGTGTACTTCGGGTTCACGTATACACCTTGCGCTTTAAGGGGTGGAAGGAGCTATACATAAGCATGTCAGGAAGATGTCGGGATATCAGGCGCTCTTTCGACCGATTGGACGAGGATGGGGCACGTCACCACTTCCCCTCCTTGGCCAGCATCCCCTGTCAACTATCCGCCTTCTCGGCCCGCGCGGTGGCAACACACACACACACCTGGACACAAGTCAGAACTGCTTTCGTGACGAAAGAGTAAATTCGTTAAGATTTCTGGATGTTAGACACGCGACAGAAACCTAAGTCTAAGACGATGTGAGTTGTTCAACTGGCGTTTGTCCTTCGATTTCGGCCCTTGGGAGCCCATGTTTGATCCTCCAGACGATCCAAAGTGAATCGTGGACGAAAGGCTAGCCCTGGGGAAGCGGTCGGGACCTCTGGAGATGCTGATTGGGGAAAAACGCACACCGGCGGATGCCAGGGAATGCGCGGGCTTCATCGTGGTGAGATCCTTCGGAATGCAAGCTCGCGCGATTCCGCGCGCCAGCTTCAGAACCATTCGTCACCTATACGCTGCTCATGCGAACCAAAGCGAGGATCGAACGGCTGGGGGAAACGGGACCCCCCGCTCCAAACCTACGCATATTTCGAATTCAACACTCCGCCCAAACACAGGCCCTGGGTTCTTGATCCGTGCAAACCAGGCGCAACCCTGAGCTGAAAGCCCTCGTCCTCGTTGAGCTCACCGGCTAAATTCGGCCAGTTTAGATTGCTCAGGGTAGCTTGCCCTCTCGTGGATGTACTTGGCCAAATTTCCCACGAAGGCTGCACATGCCAATCCGATGATGCTGATACGTGGTATTGTACGCAACGATTGGCTACAGACTGACCGGAGGCGACAACTGAGCAGGACTGACATCGGCATGTATGGCGGGAGAACGGATCACCTACCACTTGCAAGCTGAACGCCTGACTCGGGATGATAACCGATCCTCGCAAGCTGGCGGTTTGGAGAAGCATTTTTCTTTTACGATTCCCAGTGCGACTGTACAATTCAATGTGCACAGCAGTTTCGCTGTGGCCACAAGTGCTAGTGACGTTGGAGGCAGCTCATCAGACGCATTATCGTTTGCATGTCCACACTCTCTCTCAGGTATTTTCGCAGCGCAGCGCCTCATGCACCTACTATCTTGCCAGCGAGTCACAGAAAGTGCCACCATTTCGAGCCCTCATCTTCGGTCGATGTTGGAAGCACTGCGTCGATATCCTGCTGTAGGGCAACATGCGCCTCAAAGTCAGCAGCTCCCAGCACAACGCCAATGGCGAGCAAGGCAACGTAGACCCACTCAGACAATGCCACCATATTGACCCAAGCCATTCCATGCCAGCCAACATTGCCGCTACAGTACCCGCCAAAGTTGGCGTTCGCTAGCTCCAGCGTGCGGCGAAGGCCGAGCGTCGTGAACACCGCTGGGTCGCTGAGGTAGGCACCGACAAAACAGAGATTCGCAACGACGAGAACGCAGATGCTTGCGACCGCCACGGGCAGCTGCAATTGCCGCCTGCGGCGACATGAATCCCAAGTGTGACGTGCATACTTCCCGCATGACGCGCTTGCAAAACGCCGGGCCAGCACCCAGCTACCAACCGCCCAAACGAGGCCGCCGCCAAAGATAACGTCAGCACAGACTAGATGGACATCAAGACGCTTGTCCCACGGGAAGAAGCCCAGTGCTCCTACTCCTAAGGCAGTCGCCGCACCGGCAACACCGATCATGATGTTGACATTATGCCAGTGCCTGTGCAACAGAAGAATGGAAAGTAAGGACTGACGGGCAACTACAATGTGTGGGAGAACGCAGAGCATGAAAACTCCACATGCAAGGAGGCCCAAAGTGAACACCGTCTTCATGCTTCCGTGTAGACCTAGATCCGAAATGAAAGGCATGAAAGCAATGCATCCACGCGATAACCACAATCCATAGCAAGCCCCAAACGTAGCAGCCATGGTCCCAACAGCCAGCCACATGAACAACATGGCTGTACTCTGTGACGGCACGGAGAGCCAACGCATGGTGCGTAGAGGAACCTTTGCTAACGCTGCCTCGAAGTCGCTCGTAGGTTATTGACTCAGACTGTACGCGGTGTGGCCTACAGCAAAGTCTTCGCCAATGGCATCAAACCAAACGAATCTACGTGAGCCCGAAACTGAGAACTTCAGCCACAATGGATACAGATGATTTGGACAATCAATTTTACCGCACAAGCACCGCGTCGCACCGCCCGCCCGAAAGAGCAGCTTGTATGTACAAGGTCTATCAGACGATGTACGAAACAGAGAAAATGGGACATAAAACAACACATAGGTACCATGGAAGTCCCGGGCGCTACGGGGTGCTCCTGGGCCTCTTGGAGCTTGTCGCGTGACTTTCCCTGAAGCCAAAAGGCTCCGAGGCGCCCCCAAGACGGTTCATGAACGTCCCAGAACGCCCCAAGAGCGACCCATGACGCCCACGATGGCGTCAACACGGCCGAAGAGGTCCCCTAAGACGTTCCACGAGGGCTCCAAGGTTTCTGGTTCCCCCGTCGTTTCCTCATCATTCGGATCCAGGCCCGAGGCCACGAACCCTGGGAAATAATTAGATAAATTACTCCAGGCAAGCGTGCTCTGGAGGCCCCCACGCATCATACATTACTGCAGACGCGCGCATCCTGCAACCAACACATAGCCCAACTCAACTGCCAAACGTCAATTTAGACAACAAGACAAGCAACCGAATTGCCAGTCAACCAACCGACAAGAAAACCAACCAACGAACCGACCAAACGTGATGAGGGGCAACGATGGGGGGAACTGGCATAGGGGGGACACATCGACCTGGCATCGGTGATGCATCGCGGATAGATCGGTGATAGGCCCTCGATGGCGAATCCGCAGGTTCCTGGGCGGGGTGGGGCTAGCAGATCACTGTCGGCGATCAATGGGCGATTGGGGATCAACGCACCCCCCACTATGCCCATCCCACTTGTCGTTGTCGTTAGATCGGGCATGTCACTCTACAAGCGGATCGTGGGCAAAAAAATCGAAATAATCAGAAAATGCGCCAAAGTAGCCGAAACATGCTCAAAGCATCGCCCCCAGACTATTGTTTGTCTATATTTGAATATTCCTCCTGGATAAGGAGGGGAAAACACACACAAACACAATCAATCGCCGACTCCGGAGAAAGTGTGGGAAAACGTGGGACGTGGGGGGGGGGAAGGCAAAAGCTCAGAAGATCTGAGAAAATCTCGGGGTCATTGGCATTGTTGTGTATTTATGTGTGTGTCTCTGGACCCCTTCAATGTAGAGGGACAGGCCCGCCTGAGAGTTGCCCCCGACGTGACCACGCACTCAATACGAGACGGGAGCCAGCTGCCGAGGGCGAAGTACTTCCGATGTCCCACAGGCTCGCGGACAAGGATATTTATGAAGGGGCCCAAGGACACACACCCTCACACACACACACGCACACACACACACATATATATATATATATATATACATATATATATATATATATATATATATATATGTGTACATGCAAATATCCCACACATTTTCTCATACTTTCTGGGTTTCTGTCTCCCCCCCCCCCCTCTCCCCATCTTCTCCCGCAATTTCCTGGGAATCGACGATTCATTGTGCATGTTTCCCCCCCCCCCCTGAATTATAGCGCCCACGTTTTTGCGGGCTTCCGACGCAGGAGGCCCCCAAGAGGCCCACGCGAGTCCCCACGAAGCCCCAGAGAAGAGGCTTCCCAGAGGCACCCCAGGAGATCCCAACGGGCACCCAGGAGGCCTCTGACCTACAACCCAGTCGCGGTGGCGGGCTGGGCCGAAGGCCACGAGATCCGCCGCCCCCTGTCGATTCATCGCAGGGGTGCCTGGCGTGCTGAATCCTTTCGGTTTTGGTTTTGGGTCTTTTTCTAAAAGAACTCCCCCTGGGGCTTCGGCCCGTCCCGCCGGCCACCCGGAAAGGACCTCAACTGCACAATGTTTTCTCTCAAGATGGCGCCAAGATGGCCACGTTGGCCCAAAATGGCCTCCAAGATGGTCCAAAATGGCCTGCAAGTTCGCCCCAGATGGTCCAAGACGGCCCCTAAGACGGCCCAAGAGAGTCCAAAACGGGCCAGGAGCCCACCAAGATGGCCGAAGTTGGCTCGAAGCTGGCCCAAGACGGCCCAAGAGGCCTCCACCAAGAGGGCCTCCCGGAAGGCCAGAAAAGGCGAAAAGCATTGTATTCCCATTGTTTTGAAGGATGTTGACATTTGCGTCGTTTCGGCCTTCCGACGGCCCGATACGGCCCAAGAGCCCCCAAAGATCGCCCAACGATAGCCCAAGAGGCCTCCAAGATGGCCCCAGAACGGCCCAAGAGGCCCCCAAGACGGCCCCAAAAGGCCCCCAAGAGGCACAGGAGGCTTCCAAGACGCCCAAGATGGCCTCCAAGACGGCCCTGGAGCATTCCAAGAGGGCCCCAAGTCGGCTCAAAGAGGCCCCCCAAACGGCTTCCGACCGCGTCGGACGGGCCAGGGGCCCACCAAGACGGCCGAAGATGGCACTAAGATAGCCCAAGACGGCCCAAGAGGCCTCCAAGAGGGCCTCCAGGAAGGCCCGAGACGGCCAAAATCGTTGATTTCCCCTGAGTTGTGGAAGGAGTGTGACATTTTCGTCTTTTCGGCCTTCCGACGGCCCGAGACGGCCCAAGTGCCCCAAAAGATCGCCCAAGAGGCCCAAGACGGCCCCAAGAGTCCCCCAAGACGACCCAAGAGTCCCCCAAGACGCTCAAGATGGCCTCCAAGACGGCCCAAGAGCCCTCCAAGACGTCCTCCAAGAAGGCCCGAGAGGGTCGTGATGGCCTCCACGCGACCAAGATGACCTTCAAGATGCCCACGTGTTCCCCGAAGGCTTTCCAAACTGACTCGGGGAACACATGGTCCGATAGCTTGGCAGGTCTGGCCTCAACGTTCGGCCACATAGGCGCTTCCAAAAAGGCAGGGGGCGGCGGTGATTCGCCGTAGGCGTCTTCGATCCGCCGCCCCTTGTTGGCTTGCCGCAGTGGTGGCGAGCGTGCTGCATCCTACCGCTCTTGGTTTGGTTTTTTTCCCAACCATCCTGTGGTGTTGGGTCCTCGTTTTGAAGAGACGGTCCCCGCGTCCTCCTCTCCTCTCCTCTCCTCCTCTCCTCTCCTCCTCTCCTCCTCTCCTCTTCACCCACCCAGTACACCGTTTCGTGGCCCCATAGGGAGCTCCGCCGAAGGCCCCAGTGCTGCCGCCCGCATGCGTCACCCACACCCCGGCACACCCCTCACACGTTTCGTGGCCCCATAGGGAGCCCCACCGAAGGCCCCAGTGCTGCCGCCCGCATGCGTCCCGCACACCCAATTCGGCACACCCCTCACACGTTTCGTGGCCCCATAGGGAGCCCCACCGAAGGCCCCAGTGCTGCCGCCCGCATGCGTCCCGCACACCCAATTCGGCACACCCCTCACACGTTTCGTGGCCCCATAGGGAGCCCCACCGAAAGCCCCAGTGCTGCCGCCCGCATGCGTCCCCACACCCAATCGGCACACCCCTCACACGTTTCGTGGCCCCATAGGGAGCCCCACCGAAGGCACCAGTGCTGCCGCCCGCATGCGTCACCCACACCCAATTCGGCACACCCCTCACACGCTTCGTGGCCCCATAGGGCCCCACCGAAGGCCCCAGTGCTGCCGCCCGCATGCGTCACCACACCCAATTCGGCACACCCCTCACACGTTTCGTGGCCCCATAGGGAGCCCCACCGAAGGCCCCAGTGCTGCCGCCCGCATGCGTCCCGCACACCCAATTCGTCACACGCTTCGTGGCCCCTACCCCACCGAAGGCTGCTGCCGCCCGCATGCGTCCCGCACACCCAATTCGGCACACCCCTCACACGTTTCGTGGCCCCATAGGGAGCCCCACCGAAGGCCCCAGTGCTGCCGCCCGCATGCGCCCCGCACGCCCAATTCGGCACACCCCTCACACGTTTCGTGGCCCCATAGGGAGCCCCGCCGAAGGCCCCAGTGCTGCCGCCCGCATGCGTCCCGCACACCCAATTCGGCACACCCCTCACACGTTTCGTGGCCCCATAGGGAGCCCCACCGAAGGCCCCAGTGCTGCCGCCCGCATGCGTCCCGCACACCCAATTCGGCACACCCCTCACACGTTTCGTGGCCCCATAGGGAGCCCCACCGAAGGCCCCAGTGCTGCCGCCCGCATGCGTCCCGCACACCCAATTCGGCACACCCCTCACACGTTTCGTGGCCCCATAGGGAGCTCCACCGAAGGCCCCAGTGGCGGCGCTCACATGCGCATGCGTCCCGCACACCCATTTCGGCACATCCCTGACAGGTTTCGTGGCCCCATCATCCACCGGAGGCCCCAGTGGCGGCGCTCACATGCGTCACCCACACCCACCCAATTCGGCACACCCCTCACACGTTTCGTGGCCCCATAGGGAGCTCCACCGAAGGCCCCAGCGGCCGCGCTCACATGCGTCCCCGCCACCCATCCCGGCACGCCCCTCACAACAACAGGTTTCGTGGCCCCATAGGGAGCTCCACCGAAGGCCCCAGTGGCACCGCCCGCATGCGTCACCACCCGCACCCAATTCGGCACACCCCTCACACGTTTCGTGGCCCCATAGGAGCTGCACCGAAGGCCCCAGTGGCGGCGCTCACATGCGTCCCCGCCACACATCCCAGTACACCCCTCACGCGCTTCGTGGCCCCATAGGGAGCTCCACCGAAGGCCCCAGTAGCGGCGCTTACATGCGTCTCCGCCACCCATCCCGGCCCCCCCCCCGCAGCAGCATCATGTTTCGGGGACCCATAGGGAGCTCCACTGGAGGCCCCAGTGGCGGCCCGCACATGCGTTTCCGCCACCCATGTCGGCACGCCCCGCGCGTGTTTCATGTCCCCATAGGGAGCTTCGCCGAATGCCCCAGTGGCACCCATCTCGGCACACCCCTCACACGTTCCGTAGTCCTATGGGGAGTTCCATTGAAGATGAAACCCGCAGCTGCGGTACTGACAACTGCATATGGTTGGGTTCTTCGCCAGGCTAATTTCCAAAAGAACTCTCCCCTGGGCATTCGGCCCCCTCAACGTCCCCCCGAAATCGTCCTAGACGGCCCTAGATGGCCTCCGAGAAGGTCAAGTTGGCCCCATATGGACTCCAAGATGCCTCCGAGACTGCCAATATGGTCTCCAAGACAGCTAAGATGACCCCACGATGCGTCCCAGGCGGCCCACGATGCACCCAAGACGGCCCAATAATGGCCCAAGACGGCACACAAGGCCCCCAAGAGGCCTCCAAGACAGCCCCAGGGGCCTCCAAGAGACCCTCCAGGGAGGCTCGAAGAGGCCAAAATCATTGATGTCCTAAAATGGTTGATGGATTTTGTCAGTTGCGCCTTTTCGGCCTTCGGACGGCCCAAGACGACCCAAGAGGCCCCCAAGGTTGTTCCAAGATCGCCCAAGAGACCTCCGAGATGGCCCTATGACGGCCTAAGAGGCACCCAAGACAACCCCAAAAGGGCCCCAGGACTGCCCAAGAGGCCTCCAAGACGCCCAAGATGGCCTCCAAGACGGCGCTGAAGCGCCCGAAGAGGGCCCCAAGTCGGTTCAGAGAGGCCCCCAAGACGGCTTCCGACGGCGTTCGATGAGTCAGGAACGCCCTAAGACGGCTCAAGATGGCTCTGAGATGGCCTAAGACGGCCCAAGACGCCCCCAGAGCAGTCCAAGACAGCCCAAGAGGCCTTGGTCCGACGATGCCAAAGTCATTGATGTTCCAAAAACCTTGTTGAATGATTTTGGCATTTGCTTATTTTCGGCCTTCCGACGACCCGAGACGGCCAAAGAGCCCAGAAAGATCTCCCAAGAGGCCTCCAGGATGGCCCCAGAACGGCCCAAGAGGCCCCCAAGACGGTCCCAAGAGGGCCCCCAGACGGCCCAAGAGGCTTCCAAGACGCCCAAGATGGCCTCCGAGACGGCCCTGGAGCACCCCAGGAAGGTTTCAAGTCGGCCCAGGGAGGCCCCCAAGACGGCTTCCGACGGCGTCAGATGGGCCAGGAATGCCCTGAGACGGCCAAATAGCCCCCAGAGAAGCCCCCAAAGGCCCCCAAGAGGCCCAAGGAGGCCCCCCAAATGCCTCCAAGAGGATCCCAGGAAGCTCCCAGGAGGCCCCAAGAGTGCCCCAAGAGGCTCCCACGATGCCCCCTCCTCCTCCTCCTCCTCCTCCTGCTCCTCCTCCTCCTCTTCCTCCTCCTCCTCCTTCTCCTCCTCCTCCTCCTCCTCCTCTTCCCTTCTCCTCTTCCTCCCCTCCTCCTTCTCTTTCTCCTTCTTCTTCGTCTCCTCCTTCTCCTCCTACTCCTCCTCCTCTTCCCTTCTCCTCTTCCTCCCCTCCTCCTCCTCCTCCTCCTTCTCCTTCTCCTTCTTCTTCGTCTCCTCCTCCTCCTCCTTCTCCTCCTTCTCCTCCTCCTCCTCCTCCTCCTCCTCTTTCTCCTCCTCCTCTTCCTCGTCCTCCTCCTCCTCCTCCTCCTAATCTTCCCCGCCATCCTCCCCCAGATGTTCCTCGAAGTGTTTCCACACCGGGTGGGGGAACACATGGTCCGATAGCTTGGCAGAGCTCTTGCCACAACGCTCGGC